CGGCTCGGCGGCAGTGCGGCTCGGCTCCCGGGCGGCTCGGCGGCAGGGCGGCTCGGCTCCCGGCGGTGCCGCTGCTAGGCGGCTCCCGCAGGTAGGGCGGCGGTAGGGCCGCAGGTAGGGCGGCGGGCGGGCCGTAGGTAGGGCGGCGGGCGGGCCGCAGGCAGGGCGGCGGTAGGGCCGCAAGTAGGGCGGCGGGCGGGCCTCAGGTAGGGCGGCGGTAGGGCCGCAAGTAGGGCGGCGGGCGGGCCGCAGGTAGGGCGGCGGTAGGGCCGCAAGTAGGGCGGCGGGCGGGCCGCAGGTAGGGCGGCGGGCGGGCCGCAGGTAGGGCGGCGGGCGGGCCGCAGGTAGGGTGGCGGGCGGGCCGCGACGTGAGGGCGGCGGGGCCGCTGTAGTGGGGCGGCGGGGCCGCTTAGCAGAGGGCGGCGGGGCCGCGTGAGCAGGGCGGCGGGGCCGCGTGAGCAGGGCGGCGGGGCCGCGAAGCAGAGGGCGGGCGGGCCGCGACGTGAGGGCGGCGGGGCCGCTGTAGTAGGGCGGCGGGGCCGCTTAGCAGAGGGCGGCGGAGCCGCGTGAGCAGGGCGGCGGGGCCGCGAAGCAGAGGGCGGCTGGGCCGCGCGAGCAGGGCGGCGGGGCCGCGAAGGAAGGGCGGCGGGGCCGCGTTAGTAGGGCGGCGGGGCCGCGTAGGGAGGGCGGCGGGGCCGCGAGGGGCGACACGGAGGGTCGCTAAAAAAAAGGAAAACGCGCCTCGGGGCGCGCTTCGGTGGGCCCTAGAAGCAGTCCCTAGGAGGGGACCTGCTCTGATTCCATGTGAAAATGAAGAACAAGGATGGTTGAACTATGAATGAAGTGAGTACATATAGGAAACCCTAATTGGGTTGTACCCCCTATGGGATACCCCACTATAGCCTACACAACAGCATAAGCTATATAATGTTCTGACACCCCCCCCCCCCCCCCCCCTTTCTCCTTAGGTTGCACGAGAGGAGTGGATTTTTCCCTTAGCGTTTTCTAGCCAATCCCGTGTTTGTAAAGTGTCTAAGTCAGCTTGGAGCACCCGAATTTTCCCTTAGCGTCTAAGTGCACCCCCCCCCCCCCCCTTTCTCCTTAGGTTGCACGAGAGTGGATTTTTCCCTTAGCGTTTTCTAGCCAATCCCGTGTTTGTAAAGTGTCTAAGTCAGCTTGGAGCACCCGAATTTTCCCTTAGCTTCTAAGTGCACCCCCCCCCCCCCCCCCTTTCTCCTTAGGTTGCACGAGAGTGGATTTTTCCCTTAGCGTTTTCTAGCAAATCCCGTGTTTGTAAAGTGTCTAAGTCAGCTTGGAGCACCCCAATTTTCCCTTAGCGTCTAAGTGCAAACTCTGGGTAATTACATTCTGGGTAACCAACATCGAGCCCGCTGACGTCAAAAGTCACCTACGTGGCTCGATGGTACCCGTCAGATCATGCGCACCCCTTGGTGGTACCCATCTTCCCTCCGTGGTACCCATCTTCCCTGCGTGGTACCCATCAACTGTGCGTGAATTCCCTGACTGGTACCGCAACATTTCAACCGAGCTGTACACCGTACAACAAGGGTTTCAATGCGATTTTCACTATATTATACCAACGTTTTCTGTCTGCAATTGAACATTAATACATTTGAACATTAATACATTTGAACGTGCCTTACACTGGATAGAGTGCAACCTAGAAAAAATCAACTCCCCTTCTAAAATCCTCACGTTACCTCCGAACCTTTGTAAGCTCACATCACTGAGCGATAGGTAGCGTGAATCTTACGACCATGTTTCTCAGCGCGCAGTTGGTAATCTGAACAAAGTTCATAAGGTTGTATGCAAATAAATTGAGCATGTACCCCCACAGCTAAATAGAAAAGCATAAACAAATAATACGTACATTCGTTGGTTTCTGGAAACAAAACAATACCCATTAATGAAAATCAAATAACCTTAAGTCAATATATATATTACGTGTCAGTTGATCGTTTGTTACACGGATGTTAATTTTTGTGTTTCGGTTGATGCAATATATCTGTGGTGATTTAAATTATAGCACGTTATAATGTGGATGTTTATGAGCCTAAAGAAATCTACACAATAAATATTTTCCTAAATTCAGCTTTTCTTCTACACTTTATTATAGGTAATGCGCTTGAAAATTTGACCCGATTATGTGGCACTTCGGGCTTCGGACTCTATTGAGCTTGTAAACGTTAAGACAATATAGTGAAAAACGCATTGACACCCTTGTTGTACGGTGTACAGCTCGGTTGAAATGTTGCGGTACCAGTCAGGGAATTCGCGCACAGTTGATGGGTACCACGCAGGGAAGATGGGTACCACGGAGGGAAGATGGGTACCACCAAGGGGCGCGCATGATCTGACGGGTACCATCGAACCATGTAGGTGACTTTTGACGTCAGCGGGCTCAATGTTGGTTACCCAGAATGTAATTACCCTGCAAACTCTTCACAGGCCCGGATTTCAAGTTTTCACTTTGGGGTGCACCCGTGACCGTTAAAGCGACGGTGCACATTTGCCACCCAAAACCCAGAACCCTGGCGAACTGTTACTGCGGATGGAAAGTGTCCGCACGAAATCCTGGTTTTCGCCAGCCAGCACTTTCGCGCTGGCAAGCCTGGTTCAAAAAAAAAACTTCTGAACCCAACACTGCCAAAAGTTGCCCGTCGCTTTAAGGGCGCCCAAACGCTCAGCTTCACCCAAAACAGGGTTAGATGGGGAGGAGCTGGGGAGCGCAAGTATGGGCCCCAAGAACTTCGACAGGCCTGATCACGACATCCCCCAACCTTCTAGCGACTCGCCTGGAAACCGCGCTGGGCTCGCGGGCGTTGCTGCAGGACGTGGCACGCAGACATTGCTTTGCGCGATTGATCTGACGGTCTACAGAGTTGGTCTGGTGTAGGCACACCCTGGAACGACTGTAACCGACGTGCACCTGAAAACCGCCACCGCTAAGCGGCCACGTCTGGGGGCCGCCGAGCCGAACCGAATCGAACAAACAAGTCAGGTCAGGCCAAATGCTTTCGTGGTACATGTTCTTGAACCCCAGTTGTTGTGACTCGTCACGTCACTCTCCGACCACACTTTCCTGAATACGTCCTTCGTCAACCAGATCCCCTTCCAACACCCAGCCCTCCCCCCATATCCCCCCACTCAGTTGTACATGGCACTTTCCTTCCGCCACCCCAACCCCGCGTTCGGTCGGTCATCATCTCATCACAGCACACCACCGTTCCCATCCCACAATTATCGTACTGTACCTCACCTTCCTCCCATCACAAACCAGCAAATTGAAGTTCACCATTTTGCTTGCCGCTCGTGTACGTTACACTGTACCATTTTGCCTATACTGTACTGCCGTTCGAGTCACGGCTGCCTGCCCAGTCGCTTCATCTGAGATGCATTGACCAGCGTCCTCCCACGTCGATCTAACCAGGAAAGCCGCTAGAAATGTAGTCGCAACGTCAGCCCGACTCAGTTCTGCGAATATCATTTTCGGTTTTACCTCCTTATAGGCCCGACTGTCAGCCGTTCGCCGCGTCACACAAACAGACGCGCAATGGCTCGAGTATCGGTGAAAGGTCTGGCGGCTCTTGCGCTCGTTGCTGTCGTCACCTTGTGCGTGATGCAAGTCGCGTCAGCTTATACCGGGTACCAGCAGATGGTAGCGAAGCTGAAGAAGAGGGGATACAGCACCTCCCTTGCCGCGTGGGAAATATCTGGTGAGTCACGACTCGCGAACGCCTCGTCCGCTGTCTGTAAACATTTCAATGGCCCGCTGCTTGTAACATTTATTTTTTCTGTTCTCAAGGTGTGAACCCCGTGTTATAAACACTTATCGCGGAAAGGAGTGAACTTTCTTCTATGGTCAAGAAGAACACTGGGAAGCAAGAGCTGACAGGACCTTCGTTCGTTTTAGTCTTATGAAAACGGAGTTATGTTAACAGGAGCCTGGAGATCCATTCCCTGTCTTTCAGTGGGTTGAAAATAAAAAGAGACCAGAATAGGCGAACCGGAGGTGGTGCGGACGAGTGGAAGCACGCAGGCGGCGACCGCGATTATTCTTCTTTTGAGTCGACTCAAAAGCGCGCAGGCGGCGATCGCGATTATTCTTCGTCGGAGTGGACAATGTGTGGTTGTTGCGCTACAAACGCCGGCTGTCACTTTTGAGTCGACTCAAACGCTGCAGTTTCCCGTTTTCGCGGCGTGATGCCGTGCCGCGCGGCTAGCCATTTTCCGTTTCGCGCGATGCCGTGCGCGCTAGACATTTTTCGGACCTCCCTGAAGATCACTTCCTCGTAGTATGATGAGACGAGCTTTGAGACGACTCAAAACGCTCGTCTCATTACCGCCAACCTCTGAGTCGCCTCAAAAGTCGGCCACTTCCTCGTGCGATGAGACGACCTTTGAGGCCTTGAGACGAGCTTTGAGTCGACTCAAAACTCGTTTCATTGCCCGCCAACTTTTGAGTTGACTCAAAAGTCTGCTATATTTCGGACCTCCCTGAAGATCTTTTCCTCGTGCGATGAGACGACCTTTGAGGCGCCCCAAAACTCGTCTCATTACCCGCCGACCTCTTGAACTCACTTTCCAGGCGGCCTAAAGAGAGACCCATATTGGCCGGCCATTTCACCTCTCGTGCCGTCCATTTCACCCCACCCAGGCCTCAACAACACCTTCAAGCAGTACCTGCCATATAACAGCCAAGATGACGGTGCTGGTGCCATATTTTTCTCATATCTTTTGAGTCGACTCAAACGCTGACTTCGCAGACAACTGTGCTGGTGCCGTCTCTTTCTCATGTCCTCGTGTCACTTTCTCCTCCCCCATTCCCCATCCCACCCCCAGGCCTCAACAACACTCTAAAAACTTACCTGCCAACGTCGCAGTTGACTGTGCTGGTGCCGCGAAACAGTGCATTTGGCAAGCTCACGGGCAGCTTCCAGTTCTCCAGGCTCAAGAAGAACCCCAAGGGGCTGCTGCAGGTCATGTCGTTCCACGTGTGGAAGCAACGCTTCTACCAATCCACTCTCGGGCCGCTCGCAGTTGGAACGCAGGTGAGAACGGCTGCTGCGACTGTTTTCGCTGTGTTTTCAGTGTGCTTCTCTAGGTGTGCTTCAAGCAGTGTTTCTACGAACCACGCTGGAGGTGCTCAAAGTGGGAACGCAGGTGAGAATGGCATGGAAGTGGAAGCATGGCAGGATTAGTACCAGGTCATGTCCACGTCTGGAAACACGCTTCTACGGCTCGACTTTGGAGGCGATCATAGTGTGCACGCATGTCGAGCATAGGACTGGGATGTATTGCAACATACGGGACAGGTTTTAAAATGCCTGATAGGATTTGTCCTCTCTTCCCCTGCCTCCTTTCTTCTCTTGCTCCTGCAGTTTGGCACCCTGGATTACAAGTTTGTTATGAGGAAGACAGGCGCAGCAACGTACAACAAGCTTGGAGCTACGGGAGGGCTCAAGATTGTAGAGCCAGACCTTTATGCGGACCGGCAGGTTATCGTGCATGGCGTTGATACCGTCATCATCCCACCCAAGATTTTATAAATGGATGAAAAAAAGGGTAAAGGTAGCATATCATATGTGCACACATACAACTCGAATGATTTTATGGGGGTCTTTTGGTCCAATATAGAAAGGGGTAGCATAAAATGAGTGATTTAGGGTGTTCCAATCACCATGTTCTAATGCACAAATGCGACAGCTCACGTGTGGCAAGAGCAATTTTTGGCAATGCCTTGATACAAATACAGGCGGTGAAACTAATGCACTCACTTGCGAAATCAATCACCGTCTTTTTATAACGAATCTAATGAAAGGTTGACAACGAGGGCTCCTGAGCAGTTTCGGCGACAGTGGCGGCTCGCGAGTAGTTGGGACCCCATATGGTTGGTCGAGCCACAATTTTTTGTGATCGGTGTACGCGCTGTAATCCGCCCACAGCAAGGAATAACGATTTTTGACATTCTCCAACCTTCTGGCGACCTGCCTGGAAACCGAGCTATGTTCACGGGTGTCGCTCCAGGACGTGGCATGCAGCCATTGCGTGATCAATCTGACGGTGTTCACCGTCGGGCTGGTGTAGGCAAAGCCCTGGATTCCCCTGTATTGTACATCCCGACACCGCTGGTTGGGAAACAACAACCGACAGTCCGCTGTACCGCGCACGCTGGGCCCCAGCCCGGTAACCGACGTGCGCCTGAAACAGCCACCGACAAGGTGACACGTCAGGGCCGCCAAACCGAACGAACCTGTCAGGCCAAATGCTTTCCTTCCCGCGACTCGTCCCTCCCATACACCTACCTCCCCAACCCACGAATGGAAGCTTCTAGCGATGTTTTGCTCGCCCCGCCTGCTCGTCACCCCGGTCGTTACTCCATACCTCGCATCACAAACCAACCACCGTTCCAACCCATCGTAAACTCACAACACCCTATATCACCGCAGCCTTACCATCCTAACCACGACACTTTCCGTCGCATTCTCGTCCAAACGTGTTTTCTCAGCCCCCAACACCCCCTGACCTGCATTGCTGTTCGCCCTCGCGTCGTGCCGCTGCTGCCGCCGCACACTTCGGCCCATCCGCGTCAGCTCAGCTCCCTCTAGCAAGCTTCTCAACAAAGAATAATCTTCTTACTCAAGCAGCATTTTCTGTCTGCAGTAAAGACATCCGTTACAATTCAACACCTTGCTCGTTCATATCCTCCCCTCATAGTACCCCCTGCTCGTATCATTCGTTCACACCGTCTGGTCATCTAGTCACTCCTTCTCCCGTTGCCATTCCGCGTAGTTTGCTCCTATAGTCTGTTCGTGTTTTAAGCCACTGCCCGTCGCGCTCCCGGGAAGAAAGAGGTCATCTCTACCGCAGGCACTTACCCTTGGTCCGAAGCTACCACTCTAGGATTGTCTCAAAGTCACTGTCGGCACTTACCCTTGGTCTCAACGTCTTTTTTTTTGCGAAGTTCCGCGACCATCTTTCATAAAGTTTCGTTCACCATGGATCGAGCATCACGAAGACGCCCGGCGTTGCTTCTCGTCCTTGCTGCTGTCGTCAGCGTGCTCTGTCTCGTGCAAGTCGCGTCAGCTTATACCGGGTACCAGCAGATGATAGCGAAGCTCAAGACGAAGGGTTACAGCACGGCTCTCGCCGCGTGGCAGACGTCTGGTGAGTGGAAAGCAGATGGAGTCCCGATGGACCCATGGCTTTGGACGAAGGCAGCGTGGCAGCGACTTGTGTGGTTAGAAATAGCACAAGGTGTTTGCTTTAGACGGAGGGTTACAGCACGGCTCTCGCCACGTGGCAGGCGTCTGGTGGATTGGAAAGCAGATGGAGCCCCGTATGGACCCATGACTTTGCGTGGCAGACGTCTGGTGAGTCGAAAGCTGCTGGTAAGGTGAGGCAGCCGAATAGGGGAACCAGCTGGTTACGGTATTGACGTCTCAAAACTCGGCGTCTTGTTGTCGGTAAGGCGAGCAGCTGATTTCAGCTGCCGACCATAAAAGTGAGTCGACCAGCCAGTCGAAGGGGCCAGCATGTCAAGGAATCCAGCTGGTCAGGGGGGGCAGCCGGTAAAGAGGACAAGCTGGTAAAGGGGACGGCACGCGGGTAACCGCGACATGCAGTCCGGGGGAGGGTAGCTATTTGCTCTTAGTAGCATGAAAGCGCTTCGCGGAAGGGGCTTTTACCGAGGCGAGCCCGCATCTGACCGTAGCCGATTCGTCACCCGGGTACTCTAAGGTGACTCGAACGGACTGTCGCTGTGGCACCGCGCAGTTCGATACGGCCGTTAGGGTGCCGCGCAGTGCGCCTCGCAGTCTCCCGTTGTGCGATACCTACCTGTGTGCATTTTTCCTCCCAATCCCAATCCCCCCCTCTCCTCTCCCCCTCTCTCGTTCTCATGTCCCAGAGTTTCTCGCTCCTCCCCCCCTGCCCCACCCTCCCCTGGCCTGAACAACACGCTCAAGCATTTCCCAAAATGACGGTGCTTGTGCCGTCCATTTCTCATGTCCCCGTCACTCTCTCTCACCTCCCCCATCCCTCCCATCCCCCACCCTCCCCCCCTGCCCCTGCTCTCCCCCAGGCCTCAACAACACGCTCAAGCAGTACCTGCCAACGTCGAAGATGACGGTGCTGGTGCCGCGCAACAGTGCGTTTAGCAAACTGACATGCAACTTCCTCCTCTTCCCCCTCCTCCCCAGGCCTCAACAACACACTCAAGCAGTACCTGCCAACGTCGAAGATGACGGTGCTGGTGCCGCGCAACAGTGCGTTCAGCAAGCTCACGGGCAGCTTCCAGTACTCCAAGCTAAAGAAGAATCCAAAAGCGCTGCTGCAGGTCATGGCCTTCCACGTGTTCAAGCAGCGCTTCTCCAACACTACCCTCCAGGCGGTTAAAGTGGGCACGCAGGTGAGAATGGCATGGAAGTGGGAACAAAGCGTTGCTGCAGGTCATGGCCTTCCACGTCTGGAAGCAGCGCTTCTCCAACTCCACGCTGCAGGCGGTCAAAGTGGGCACGCAGGTGAGAATGGCGCTTACTTTTGCTGTATTTTCAGTGTATTTCTCTCGGTGTGCTTCAAGCAGTGGTTTTCCAATGTATTTTTCTTGGTGTGTTTTAAGGGATGCTTGTTCAACCCCATGCTAAGGAGGCACATACCTGTGCCCCTTCTTCCCTCCACCTCCCATGCACGCGACACTATAGCAAGATGGTTCGGTCAGAGGGTTGATATTATCAAACGAGTTTGATTCGACAACCCTTTCCCTCTCCTTCCCTTGTTGTTCCTGAAACTGTTCGCCCCTCTGGATTACAAGTACTATGTGATGCTGAAGACAGGCACCAAGCCAGCAAGGTTCACCAAGAAGGGCGCTCGGTGGGATTTGTGTGATGATTGCTTCTTTCCCCTCCCTCTTTCCCTCTTGCTCTTGCAGTTCGCCACTCTGGATTACAAGTATGTGATGAGGAAGTCAGGCACCAAGCCGGCAGCATTCCTGATCATTGCTTCCTTCCTTTCCCCCTCTTGTGCTCCTGCAGTTCGCCACTCTGGATTACAAGTATGTGATGAGGAAGGCAGGCACCAAGCCAGCAACTTCCACCGAGGAGTGTGCTTCTGAGGGACGTGTGATAATTGCTTTCCTCTTCCTTGTCGCTCCCTTGTTGTTGCTCCTGCAGTTCGCCACTCTGGATTACAAGTATGTGATGAAGAAGGCAGGCACCAAGCCAGCAAGGTTCACCAAGCTTGGAGCTACTGGGGGACTCAAAATTATCGCTGGAGACCTGTATGTGGATCCGCAGGTGATTGTGCATGGGGTGGATACTGTCATCATCCCACCCAAGATTGTCAAGTGATAAGTGGACGGCAGATGGGGCCTGCGGGTGACTTGATACCTGATTATAGCCGTAGACTTTCATGTGAATCCTCAGGCTATAGTGCATGGGGTAGTTACCGTCATATTCCCACGCACGACTGTCAAGTGATTGATGGGAAAGGTGGATGGAAGTTGTAGCGTCCGGTCAGTATTGTAATACTATAGTGCAACCCGTTCTGGAAGTACTTGTACGTAATTGTGTGTAGTTGAAACTTTCTAATGACATTGTTCTATATTTGGATTTGTACTTTGCTTTTTCTTGTGGATGAAACCCTACACATGGATGGAGGTATGCAAATGTGAATATCGCAAGCCTAAGCCTAAGCATAAGCAAGTTTACGTGCTGTTATACACTCCAATGGACCAACCAACGAGCTTTATTACAAGTGAATTCCAGAACTGAGTAGGAGACATGAATGTCTGGCTAAGCTCGGTTTCCTTATTCCTTGGTACGGTCTCGGCCTAATACAGCTTGGGTGGCATAACCACCATATTCACGCCGTGTATAATCACACGCGGATCCGAGTAAACGTTAGGGTCAACAATCGCAGCGCCGATTTTCGATCCTTTGGCTCCCATGATTGGCCACGCGTCCTTGATCCGTGCCATCGTAAACTCGAAGTCTAGGGTGGGGACCTGTGGTCAGGGGTAAAGGCGAGGTGGGGGAGAGGCGAGGGGGTGTTATGAATATAAGTTGTCATATTAAGAGCGAAAGAAGGTGGGAAATGGAGAGAGGGAGAGAAAGAAAGACGCGAAGGGAGAGGAAACGAGAGCCCCTCTGAGAGAGGCCAATCATAAAGCGCCTTGATAACTCAGCGATGCCCCTTCCACATCCCTCCCTATTCCCCCCGGAAATTTCTTCTGAAACTTTGCTGAAAAATATCCCCAGTGAAACTCCTACCCCCCTCCGCCGCCTCGCCCACCCTGCCCGCCCCGCCCTTACAGTGGTTCCAACCGACAGTTGCCTAATCTCCGCGGCGCGCATCCGCATGCGCAGCGTGTGATACGCGAGGATCTGACGGAGCTTGTCCGGCGTCTTCTTTAACCCCTTTCACGGTGCCGCCGTCAGCTTGTAAAACGCTCCGTTAGTGGGGACGAGAATCGTCACGTTTCTCGTCGGGAGGAGCTTGATCAGCGTGTCGTTCAGCCCCGAGATGCCGAGTCCGTCGAGCGCGATCGAGTAGCCCTTGCTCTTTAACGCGTCAACGATTCGAAGGTACGCGAGCCGCCCCGAGTACTCCGCTTGCGCCGCCACGCGCTGTGTGAATTGCGGCGAGGAGGCGAGGAGGAGCAGGAGGGAGATCGACAAACAGAGGAAAACAGTTTGCCTGTCCATCATGCGCTGTAACAGATCGAGGCGCCTAAATACTGAAAGGATGCTCTGGAGTCTATTATAGATTAAACTCAAAATGCGGTCGGAGTTGACGGGTCAATCTGGCACCAGCTAGAGTAAAAATCTGGGTTGTAGTAACACAAGGGAGCAGCGCAATCTCAGTAACGACACCTAGAAGGTAGCTTGAGAACCTGGTTGGAGAACTTGGCCTGAGCACCTGACCTGTGCCGGCTTTATAGATAAATCTAAGGAGGTGAAGAAAAATGAGGCGTACTTGCCCAGGAGAACCTACAACAACGTACATGTACGTACACATGGGGAAGAAAGGCACGTGATGGAGAGGTATGGAGGTGGAGGAAGGTACCTTCAGGGGAAGGGATGGTACTGAACAAGGTGGCGAGTGGGGCTGCTCTGCTTGTGGATACATGTGTGTGCCAGCCGCAATACACTTGAAATGCGATGGGGAGGGATGTGTTGCTTGGTAGAAAGGTCTATTGTATATTGAGAACGTTCTGGTAGGGTTCAGTCTGGTTGCGGTTTTGAATGCCGCGCCTACAAGTCGGTTGAGTGCGAATTACCAGATTTCGGATCGGACATTGAAGGGTGGGTGGGATGGTAGGCGGTCGTTGTTGCGCCTCGCGACTCGGGTCGGGTGGTGGTCATTTCTGCGCCGCGAGGGTGGATGCGGATGGGAGACAGCTCTCGCCTTGCGCATTGGAATGGAATCGAGTGTGGCAGCAAGCAACCAATATTTACTCGTTAGACGCGTCTCCGCGAATGTACATCGAATGCACCGTGGCCAGTGATACACTACGAATAGCTGAACGTCATTACCAAAGGTGTTCCTAACATATGCAACATATGGTGTTCCTAACAATACGCACAATGCTCCAGCATCTATTAACAAATGGAATAAGTGATATTTTACCACTTAGATTTTGAGTAGTGGGTGGGATATGTTTTACGTGGGAATGATTCCACGTAGTTTTCAAGTGATATGAATGAAGTCCGATGTGTGCCGATGCATCTTGAGGACCAACACAACTAACAATGAACTACATTAATCATCAGTATTCAGTCCGGTGTTCTTTTTAGAGGTGGTCCCAACGGGGGCTCAAGGGAGGCTTCTTCATCTCCAAGCATTTCCAGTTCTGCTAGCGTCCCATTGTCACAAGATCCATCCGATCGATCCTTTGCTATCCCATCCGAGAATGTTCCGTTCAGTGCAGGCAATCCTCGTGCAGACATTTCTTCAGGAAAATCCACGTGGGCACTTTTTGTGATTTCCGTGACTCGCCCATTCTCCACCAGCAGAACCCGGTCAGCATCAGCAATGGCTGCAGGCCGGTGCGCCACCAGAATCACCTGATGAGGGTGGAAGGAAAGGGGGAACGAGGAAGGAGGGGGGGAATGAGAATGAGAATGAGAATGAGAATGAGTGGGAGAACGATGGGGAGAATGAGGTAGTCAGCCTATCCAACAGGGAAGAAAAGAAGATCACATGAGAGCACAGAGAGATCTGTTTGTGCCCCCAGTGCAATTCCCCCCAGCTTTTGCCCAAGTCATTAACCTACCCCTTCCTCCCCACACCTGTCTCAGACCCAGTCCCCTTCCCCTGCTCTCCAACACACCGTCTCCTCCTGCACCCCTCCCCTCTCCTCATCTCCCCGCCCCCCCCCCCCCACTCCTCCTCCACACACGCACCGTTCGGCCAAACACGAGGCGGAGTAGAGTGCTGACTTCCCCCACCCCATCCACTCCCTCCACCCTTTCCCTTCCTCCCTTTTCCCTCAACACACCACACACGCACCGTTCGGCCAACCATGGGGCGGCACAGAGAGTTGACTCCCCCCATCCCCTCCATCTTTTCAACCCCTCCCCTTTCTCCATCCCTTCCCTCTCTCCCCCCCTCACACACACCACACACGCACCGTTCGGCCAACCATGAGGCGGCGCAGAGAGTTACCCCCCCATACCCCTCTTCTTCCACATCCCCACACCCCCCCCCCCCCCCCCCCCCCCCCCCCCCCCTCCTCTCACACACACCACACACGCACCGTTCGCCCAACCATGAGGCGGCGCAGAGCGTCGCGGACGAGAGCCTCTGATTGGCTGTCCAGTGCTGACGTGGCTTCATCCAGCACCAGGATGGCAGGGTCGTTGAAGATGGCTCGGGCGACGGCCAGCCTGGCAGGAACGGTTTGAAACAGTGCGAGGTTTGGCATTAGGTTCGGTGACAGGCTTGGTGTGAGGTTCGACCATGAATGCACTTCACAACTGGTGATTGCTACTTCACGAGCGGACATGAACACATGGAAACACGTGTTGAGGCACCTCAAGAATATGAATCAAAACACGAGGAAAGCAAGCCAAAAGAAGAAAAAAACGAAGCCTCGAATTGCAAGGCGCCAGAAAACAAAAAGGAGAAAGCCAGCGGCATTTTGAAGCAGGAAAACGTTTCGTACCTCTGCCTCTGCCCGCCACTGAGAGACGCCCCTCTAGGGCCTAGCTGGGTGAAGTAGCCTTCGGGCAGGGCAGAAATAAACTCGTGTGCATTGGCAAGGCGGGCAGCTCGCTCCACCATGGCCAGCTCTGTTGGCTTTCCGGGCAGGTTGGAAGATTCCAAGGAGAGGTATTCCAGATGGCCATAGGCAATGTTTTGAGCTACTGTGCCCGAAAAAAGAACCTGAGGCGAGTCAAACAAGGGAGAGCGAGTTAAAAAGGGGGAGAGGGGGAAAAACGTTAGGAAAGGAGAAAGGGAGGAGGGGAGAGGAGAGAGGGGAGAGAGGGTGGAGGAGAGAAACAGAGAGGAAACTGGATCAGATAGGACGAGATTATACTCCTTGTCACTTGTAGCAGCCAGGAAAAAAAAATCTCTGCCTTTTTGCACTCAAACCATCGCTCCCAACCACCACCAACCTACACCCACCGTTTCCTGTGGCACGAAGCCGATCTGACGACGCACGCTGGATGCAGAGCATGTCGCGAGATCCTGGCCGTCCAGCAGAATTCGGCCTGCCATACAGATGCAAGCACAGTTAGGAGGAGATTTAAGCAAACTCTTCAACCCAACATGACCCGACCTGACCTGACCTCACCGCACTTCGCCTCACCTGCAGAGGGGTGGTAAAGCTTGAGAATGTAACCTGACCTGACCGCATCTCACGGCATTGCACCTCACCTCACCTCACCATGCTGCCTCACCTGCAGAGGGGCGGTAGAGCTTGAGCAGCAGCTTGAGCAGGGAGCTTTTCCCTCCCCCCGATGGCCCCACCACAGCCACCGTCTCGCCTCGCCTCACCCGGAACGACACATCTGACAACACGTGGGAACCTGAGCCTGCTCCCGCTGCTTGTACTGCCGCAGCTGGTGCAGTTGCTGCGCGTGGTGCGGTTGGTGAGACCACTGCCACTGTCTCGCCTCGCCTCACCCGGAACGACACATCTGACAACACGTGGGAACCTGAGCCTGCTTCTGCTGCTTGTACTGCCGCTGATGCTGCTGCTGCTGTTGCTGCTGCTGGTGACGTCACCGCTGCCACTGCTGCTGCTGCTCCTGGGGCTTCTGCGGTTCCTGGCACTGCTGCTGCTGCTGCTGCTGCTGCTGGCGATGTGGCTTCTCCTGCTACTGGTGCCACTGATTGAGGCTTCTTTTCCTTCGAAACGCCCGTTCCTGTCGGTAAGCCATAGCCAAAGCACACCCCTTGAAACTCAATTTCTCCCATCAGTCTCCCAATGTCCTCCTCCTCCTCTCTTTGAAGGTGGGAGGAGGAGGAGGAGGATGAGGAGGAGTGGGAAGCGGTGGAGTGCGGTGGGTTCAAGCGTGTGAGGGCGAGCACACGTTCAATGGCTGGCTGGCCCTGCTTCAGCTCGTTGAATGCTGTCCCTGCTGCCTGGGGGAGGGAAAGAAAGAATAAACAGAGTGGTGGGAGGGAGTTGAGTGCAGTAGATTTGATTGAGTGAGAGCACTCGTTCAATGGCTGGCTGGCCCTGCTTCAGCTCGTTGAATGCTGTCCCTGCTGCCTGGGGGAGGGAAAGAAAGAATAAACAGAGTGGTGGGAGGGAGTTGAGTGCAGTAGATTTGATTGAGTGAGAGCACTCGTTCAATGGCTGGCTGGCCCTGCTTCAGCTCGTTGAATGCTGTCCCTGCTGCCTGGGGGAGGGAAAGAAAGAATAAACAGAGTGGTGGGAGGGAGTTGAGTGCAGTAGATTTGATTGAGTGAGAGCACTCGTTCAATGGCTGGCTGGCCCTGCTTCAGCTCGTTGAATGCCGTGCCTGCCGCCTGCAAGATTGAATGAAAAAGTCAGAGTGGTGAGAGGGAGTGGGGTGGAGTGGAGTGGAGTGGAGTGGAGTGGAGTGCGGTTGTTGTGATTGAGTAAGCGAGTACTCGTTCAATGACTGGCTGGCCCTGCTTCAGCTCGTTGAACGCCGTGCCTGCTGCCTGCATAAAAAAAGAGAACGAGAAACAGCAGGAGTAAGAGAAAGAGAAGGAACCCGTTAGATCAGTCGCTTGTGGAAACTTACCTAGAGATGCCCGTACATTGCATGTACCACTGCTTTGTCAATACAAAGACCGCTTGAGAAAGCGAGAAAGCGAGAAAGAGAACGAGAGAGACACCACGTACCTGACCTCAACCTCTTCTCCCCCATTTCAGCCCGTGCCTCCAGAACAGCCAGGTAAAACCTGAAAGCATTCATTTCTCGTTACATGAAAGCAGGCATAACCTGAATGAGCCCCGCATACGCCTTTGGAACACAGCGCCTTGAGCCGCTTCTTGCCTATCCCAGTCCATCACCTCTGTTTCAGCCTCATGCCCTCAGCCACAACCCCACAGAACAGACTAAGGGAAGCCCTGAACGTTCTCACCTCCCCTCACCTGAATGGGTTTGATGAGAAGAACGAGCGAGGTGAAGAAAGACACGATCCCAGCCCAGCCCCAGTGAGCCCTCCCTCCCTGTCCCAGTGACCCCTCCCATATGTCAGGCCCCATACTTTCAGACCCTCACCTGAATGGGTTCGATCAGTAGCACAAGGGACGTGAAGAAGGAGACAATGCCAGCGCTAGTGAGACCTCCCTGCCCCACGGCCCACGTGGCCACCCCAAACACCACCACCACCGCCGCCGCCGCCGCCGCCGCCGTATGTTCAACTGCTTACCTGTATGGGCTCGATTAGAAGAACAAGCGAGGTGAAGAAGGAGACAATGCCAGCGCCAGTGAGCCCTCCCTGCCCCACGGCCCACGTGGCCACTCCAAACGGCACCACCACCGCCGCTGCATACACTGCAGTAATCGCCTGTGGAAACAGCGCCTCGAGCCTCTTCTTGCCTGTTTCACCCCCATGCCCCCAGAACAGGCTCGGGTATAACCTGAACGCTCACTCTTACCCTCACCTGAATGGGCTCGATCAGTAACACAAGGGACGTGAAGAAAGAGACGATCCCGGCACCCGTGAGCCCGCCCTGTCCCACGGCCCACGTGGCCACTCCAAACAGCACCACCACCGCCGCCGCATACGCCGCCGTGATCGCCTCGGGAAACAGCGCTTTCAACCTTTTTTTCTGCAGCCGCGCGGACCTATCAGCTTCCGCCAGGTGGCGGAACAGGAGCGCCTCGTACGGCTCGGCTGCGTGTGCCTTGACTAGCAGCATGGCCAGGAGGACCTCGGTGATTCGCGCTGAGAGGGCTGCGATGGAGGCCTGCGCTTTTGAGGACACGCGGCGAACCCTCTCTCCGAGCGCGGCGATGATGACTGACATGAGTGGGACCACCTGGATGGGAGGGAGATGGAGAGAGGGGACAGGGAATTTTGAGACGTCTCAGTCCCCACAGAACCCTCTCCCCGAGCGTGGCAAGGATGACTGACATGAGTGGGACCACCTGTGGGGGATGGGGTTGGGGTTGGGGTTGGGGTTGGGGTTGGTGAGAAGGAAGAGGGGGAAATGGGGAACGAGAGAAAAGGCGGCGAACCCTCTCCCCGAGCGAGGCGATGATGACTGACATGAGTGGGACCACCTGGGTGAAGTGGGGTTGGTGGGAGGGGCAAAATAAAGGGAAGAGAGGGAGGGAAAGGAGGGAAAACAGGTGGGGGAGGAATGTAATGGATGGAAGGACTTATCAGCTTCTGCCAGGTGGCGGAACAGGAGGGCATTGTAGGGCTCGGCTGCATGTGCTTTGGCTAGGAGCATTGCTGGGAAGGGTGCGAACGAGGGAGGAGCGGGGAGAGTGGGAAGAGAAGAAGAAGGAAGGAAGAGAGGAGGAAGGACGGCTGTTACCAGTGGTAATTTACCACTGCTGTTGCCACTGCTATAGCCACTGCTGTTACCACCAGTCCACGTCACCAAATGCTACTGCCACTGTTGTTACCACTTGGTCACGTCACCCACTCACACACAGAGTGGCCAGCGTCATCACCGGGCTGAGCTGGACCATCCGCGTCAGCATGACTGCCACCTGGCAGACAGCTGGCACCGCCGCCTTGAGAACAGCAAAGACCACCTCGCCCACCTCCCTCGCCTCCGCCGTCAATCTATACACCAGGTCCCCCGTCGCTACAGCCGCCGGCTCTGCTGCTACAGTTGCTTTCCCCCCTTCTCCCCCCTCTCCCACCTCGCCCACCTCCCTCGCCTCTGCTGTCAATCTATACACCAGGTCCCCCGTCGCTACAGCCGCCGGCCCTGTTGCTACAGCCGCTGGTTCAGTTGCCACAGTTGCCGAACCTGCTGCTACAGCCGCTGGCCCTGCTGCTACTGCATCCCCTGGTGCAGCTGCTGCCTCTCCTGGCCCACCGGTTTCCATCTCTTCAACCCCTTCCCTCCCCCCTCCACCTCCTCCCGTCCCACCTGTTCCCCCTCCTCCGCGCCCACTGCCCCGCCCTGCGGCCTTCCCTCCCCCTCGCCCTTCAAAGAACCCCAGATCAGCCCCCAGCAGGTGGAGCCACGCCTGGGAGCGCACGGCGAGAGTGACGCCGCTTGCGGCCTCCCACAGCCACGCGTCCTGCCAGTACGTCGCTGCTGACCGCGCTCCCACAAGTACCAGCACGACACCTGTCGCACGGGAGAGCGCCTTAAGGTCGCCTGGTGCGTGGGGGGGAGGACGGGGGAGATGTGGATGGAGGGGGGGGTGTTGGGAGCAGCTGCCTCCCAAAGCCACGCGTCCTGCCAGTACGTCGCTGCCGACCGCGCTGCTACGAGTGCCAGCACCACACCTGTCGCACGGAAGAGAGCACGGAGATCGCCTGGAAGAGGGGATGGAGGGGAGGAGGAAGGGTGTGGAGGGGTGGGGGGGGTGAAGGGGGGAGGGAGGGAAGGAGAGTGGGGAGAGGAGGGGAGGGGAGTGGTGGTTGGTCGGGGGGACTAAACCCCTCGTTTGTGATTTCTGACATGTGTCCCGTGCGTGGGAGCCCAGATGGCTTTTGAGACGTCTCAAAAGATTTCTGAGATGTGTCCCGTGCGTGGGTGCCCAGATGGAGAGAGGTGGAGGAAGGGGACGGACGAGGAGGAGGAGGGGGGGGGGGAGTGAGGGGGTGGTGGTGGTGGTGGAGAGAGGAATGAGGAAGGAACGGGAAGTGAGGGCAGTGATGTTGCTGCAAGAAAAAAAAAAAGGGGTGATCTGTTATAAGAGTGAATGCAGGTGACTCACTAAAGGCGTAAATGCAGGTGAACACCTACAAGCAAAATCACCTCGGAAAAAGACCTTGGGAGATCACTTTGAGGAAGTACCTTAGGAAAATTACCCTGGGAAATGACCTTGAGAATTCACCTTGAGAATTCACCTTGAGCGAGGAGGGTGGTGATCACACGAAGCGGGGGGTGAAGAGGAGCAGCGCGACGGCGGTGCACAGCCATGGCTTCTGAGGCGCCTCAGAAGCAACGTTGGGAATTAACCTGGGTAATTTGCCTTGAAAATCACCTGCGTTGATTACCTTGAGAAATCACATTGGGTAAAGAGGAGCAGCGAGGTGAGGGCAACGGCGGTGCACAGCCACACCTTCTGAGGCCTCTGAAATCACCTGGGTAAATTCACCTGAGCATATTGCCTTGGAAAATTACCTGGGTACGCCACTTGGGTGAATATCCTTGGGAAAACACCAGGGTAAATTACCTGAGTATATCACCTTGAGCGAGGAGGGTGGTGAGCGCGCCGAAGCGGGGGATGAAGAGGAGCAGAGTGGTGAGGGCGACGGCGGTGCACAGCCACGCGCGGAGGACGAGGGGGAGGAAGGGGCGCAGGAAAGGCAGCAGGCCGAGAAGGGGGTGTTGGTGGTGGTGGTGACGCTGGTGTTGCTGCTGCTGGTGGTGCTGCTGCTGCTTGTGCTGCTGGTGGTGGTGGTTCTCGCCACTCCGCGTACCAGATTCCGTTGCCGGTGCTTCCTCTCCGTCCTCGCTAAAGGACAGCTCGTTATCAGCACGACCATCGAATGAACTGGCTGCTCGTAACCTCGCGGAGTGTGACGGCGCGTGTCTACTCGCATCTCCGCTGTTTGTCGTCCCCGCGCAAGGGCTAGACGCCCCCGATTCCGGTCGTCTCGGTGACCCGAAACTGAAAACACCCCCAGACCTCGCTGTCCCAACCCCAGTCCTGGCTGTCCCCGTCAAACGGGATCCGATATAAGACCGAAAATCCTGCTGGCTACCTCTAGGGGAGATATGATTTACAGATTTTATCCTAAGAGACCCTGCCAGCGGCTGCATTCCTGAATTAGAGACACTAACTTGGCTCGTTATAACGTGGCTCTTTACCCAAAACCTGGGAAGCGCTTTCCAGTTTCGCCTGGTTTGCGAAAGACTCAAAGAGGTCGAGCCGGACCCGCAACTGGAAACCACAGGATGCTGCCGCGACACCAGCAATTCCGTTCGCGAAGAAAAGCTTCGCCGTATTCGTCTAGAATGTTCTTCATCAGGACGTCCTGATGTCGTCGGGCCTTCACGGAACACCGTCACGCAGCCGTTAGTGCTCGACGGTCCGGCGCGACTAGGATCCAGCCTAGCGCAACTAAACCCGATGATTGAGCGTTGACTGGAGATAAGCTCGGAAGCCATGCCTGGCACGAGCAGAAAGACCTTGCGAAATGCGAAAACGCAAGCTTGTGTATCTGGTGACGTGGTGAAGGTATGGCGACGTGCATTGCTCTCCACTAGTATCCCCTAAATGAAGCACGAAATCGAGGGAAGAGTTGAGTTGAGCTCCCAAGCAGCAAAAAGACAGCCCGCTTGAAATAATTGTACCTCTCATCTCAGGTCGTCACCCAGCCTAGTGTCAAGAAGTTGGTGTCAAGGAGTTTGCGCACGCGATTGGTTAAAACAAACGCTTGACCAATCGCATTGACCGGGTGCGCAAACTTATTGACACCAACTTCTTGACACTAGGCTGGGATACGACCTCAGGGTACCTGAAGGCGTTTTCCCAACTGTGAAACGGTGTTATGACCCCTCTAACCGAAAAAAAACATATTTTGATTCATCCTTGAAACCAAAGTTCAGCCAAGGTCGCAAAGAAGAGGCACGCCTGACACTGATTTTGCCATTTTGCCTGTTTCCAAAATTTCCGGAACGCGACCCTCGATTGACATGGAACGAATTGGCGGGAAAATGAAAAAAACTGACATACTCGCTGCTGCAGGTCCCAGCTGTGTAAGAAGTTTTTCAACCGCGCACCAATTAAGGTGGATTTGTATGCCATTTCAAACCATGACGCCGCCCACCTTCCTATCCTGTTCCATTACCATCACCACCATGAAATGAAACCTACGAAGGCATATTGGCGCTGGCAGGCCACTCTCTGGAGGCTAATGCTTGTAACACTGCTGCTGCTGTCTATTGTTTTGCCGCCTTTTTCGAGGGCATCAATCTACCTTCGACCTGAACCACTGTCGAACCGTCAGATGCTTTGACCACACAATCCAAGCAATAGCTGTAACCTACAATCCTGAAAATAAAAGAAAATAAATATTAGCAATAGGGTAGTAGAAACAACTTCTTTAATTTCACTCCTTGGTGGATTAGCCGATGCATTTAATTACTTAAGATATACACACCTGAGAGCGCAAGTGTTCCAACCACCAGGTTGAGAGATGTAACCACCAGCAGGTCTCGCACACCCACCATTACCACCACAAGCAGCACTGGTAGAGCCACCAACGCTTGAATCACCACCGTTGAATACACCGCCATCAGTGGATGCACCATCCATTGGCACATCCCCAGCAGCAACAGAAGAAGCAACAGCAGCAGCAGCAGCAGCAGCAGGAGCAGGAGCAGGAGCAGGAGCAGGAGCAGGAGCAGGAGCAGGAGCAGGAGCAGGAGCAGGAGCTGCAGCAGGAGCAGGAGCAGGAGCAGCAGCAGCAGCAGCAGTAGGAGCAGCAGCAGCAGCAGGATCAACAGGAGCAGCAACAGCAGCAGCAGGAGCAGCAGCAGGAGCAGCAGGAGCAGGAGCAGGAGCAGCAGCTAGAGCAGCAGCAGCAGCAGAAGGAGCAGCCGCAGCAGCAGCAGGAGGAGCAGCCGCAGCAGCAGCAGCAGCCGCAGCAGCAGCAGCAGCAGCAGCAGCAGCAGCAGCAGCAGCAGCAGCAGCCGCAGCAGCAGCAGCAGCAGCAGCAGCAGCAGCAGCAGCAGCAGCAGCAGCAGCAGCAGCAGCAGCAGCAGCAGCAGCAGCAGCAGCAGCAGCAGCAGCAGCAGCAGCAGAAGCAGCAGCAGCAGCAGCGAGAGCAGCGCGCAGCAGAGGCGCACCCAACATTTGTCCCACCTGGTGCAGATCCATGCCAAATTAGAATAGACTTCTTTCTCGAAGACTTTTAGACGTCTCAAAGATCCCACCTTGGGCGGATCCATTCCAAACTACAGCAGCCTTGTTCCGTGAAGTTGGAGATAGCTTCTGAGGCGCCTCAAAAGCCGCTGCAGGTGCAGCAGATTCGCAGCTAACAGTAGTCCCACCTTGGGCGGATCTGATCCAAACTATCTTGCTCCTTGAAGACTTCTGAGACGCCTCAAAAGCCCCACCTTGGGCGGATCCACTCCAAACTATAGTAGCCTCCTTCTTAAAACTTGGAGATATGATTCTCTCACTGTACACTACTGTCCATCGCCGCGCCTGGCACAAGTTAACCAGGATAGTTATAACCGCTGGACCTGGCTCACTGCCTCGGAACCCATCCAGCGCGTCCGGGGCGGCCAAACCTATCGCAGACTCCCCTTCCACTGCTCCTGCTCCAGCAGCTGATGCTGCCACCCCCTTTCCAGACTTCCCACGCTTCCTCTTCTTCCCTCCTGCCCTTTTATGCCCACCATTACAATCATTATTCTCTCCACTTTTCAAGCTACCTTCAGGCCGAACTTCCTCCATCCCTGCTACACCTTCTCCTCCTCCTGCCTCCTTCCCCACTTCCCCCTCCTTTCCTCCCTCCGCTTCCCCCGCCCCGGATTTCTCTTCCTGGGCCTCCCATGCGGCCCTCATTCCCCCCAGCAAGCGCATTCCCTCCCTCTCCTGGTACAGCTGCCGAAAGCCCTGCACAGTCTGGGAGGCAGCAAGGAGGAGGGAGTGGGAAGAAGGTAAGCAAGGAGACACGGGAAGCACGAGCATTCCCTCCCCCTCCTGGTACAGCTGCCGAAAGCCCTGCACAGTCTGGGGGGGAGGCGAGGAGAAGAGGCGAGGAAACAGGAAGACTTACCTCGTGAGATGTACACCATTACAGACACATACGTTCATTACAGTCACATATGTTCGTTACAATCACATATGTTCATTACAGTCTCATATGCTCATCACACTCACCTTGGTCCTCCTTAGCATTCTAGAAGCTGCCTCCACCGTTGCTGCCACGACATCCACCCCCCAACCCTCTCCCAGCACCCCCCCCCCTCACATTCTCACATCTGTGCATCACACTCACATCTGTGCATCACACTCACAATAGCTCTTCTCAGCACGCCAGCAGCTGCCTCCACCGTTGCTGCAACATCATCCACCCCCCACCCCTCCCCCATCACCACTCCTCTCACCTCCACTTCCACCACCACCCCCTCCTCCCCCTCCCCTCCTCCTCTTTCCCCCACGCCCATTTCACGCAGCCAATTTTCCACTCTGCCCTCCCCATCCTCCCCTCCTTCACCTTCCACATCCCTTCCACACACCATGCCCCCGTTTCTTTCCCCACCCCCCTCATCCTTCCACGCCCCTTTTCCTTCGCCCGCCGTTTTCACCCCTTTCCCCCACTCTCTTCCCAACTCCTTCCCCCACTCCTCCCTCCACTGCACCCCTGACTGCCCCCCCCCTCCCCCACTCCCCTGAGCCTTGGGCAGGTAAATAGGGGCGGGGAGGGAGAGGGCACAGCAAAAGAGGAGCAGGGCGGAGGGAGGATGGAGGGAGAGGGGATGCAACAGAGGGATAGGGGATAGCCAGGAGGAAACGAATTGCCACGTCCGGGCGAGAGGGCATGAGGGATGGAGAGGGGGAGGTGAGCGGGGGTTGAGTGCGGTGGGAGCGGTGTTTGGAGGAGTGGAATCGAGGAAAACTGCTGCTGTGAGGGCCTTGATTAGATCAGAGACGTCCTGATGGGTGCGGGGCAAGGGAAGGAATGGAGAAGGGAGATGGGAGAGAGGAAAGCGGAGAGATAAGAGTGTGGATGAAGAAAGATATACGGAAAGAGGGAGTGAGGACTGCTGCTGTGAGGGCCTTGATTAGATCAGAGACGTCCTGACGGGGAACGGAGGGGAGGGAGGAGGGGGGAGAGGAGGGGAGAAAGGAGGAGAGAAAGGCGCGGAGAGAGGAGGGGAGAGAGGACGGGAGAGAGGAGGAGAGAGGAGAAAGAAGAGGAGCGGAGAGAGGAGAAGAGAGAGGAGGGGAGAGAGGAGGGGAGTGAGGAGGGGAGAGAGGAGGGGGGAGAGGAGGGGAGAGGGGAGGGGAATTGTGAACAGTGTTGTAGAATGTTGAAGCAAGAGGAATGTGTGTGGGCTATGGGGTATGCAAGAGGAATGTGTGTGGGCTATGGGGTATGCAAGAGGAATGTGTGTGGCCGCTCAGACCTTTGGAGCGCATCGAGAAGGCCGAGAAGCAAGAGGGATTAGGCAGCCTCTGGGTAGAAAGAAAGGCGAGCCATTCAGAGGCCGTTGCGATGTGCATACAAGGGAAGTGGTCCAGAAAGCGTGGTACAGACAGTGTGGTACAGACAGTGTGGTACAGACCATCTGTAGGGTTACATGGTTACATCGTCGTACATGTTGTTACCTGCTGATATGGTTATATGGTTACAAAACGTTACCTTGGGGAATGGCTTCTGCACATCATCATATTCCTGCAAATTGCCCATGTCCCACGTCCTCACCTTTCTCCCCATGTCCTCACCTCTCTCGCATTCTGCCGGCTGTAACAGCATTACCTTGGGGAACGGCTTCTGTAGATCATCATCATAATCCTCCTCATTGCCCATGTCCCATGTCCCATGTCCCCAGCAGCCACATGCGCCGGGTCGGCTGCATCGGCTTTTGAGGCGCCTCAAAAGTCAAAACGTTACCTTGGGGAATGGCTTCTGTAGATCATCATCACAATCCTCCTCATTGCTTATGTCCATGCCCATGTTCCCAGCAGCCGCATGCGCCGAGTCAGCTGCACCGGCAGCAGCAGCCTTTGCCGCCCGCTGTATCCTGCGCACCAATCGCAGCAGCCCACTGGGCGCCGCCAGCTGGCAGAACCTCTCCGAGAAAATCTCCGCCTTGCGCAGGTCTGTCAGCTGGTGCGGGGACAGCCGGGCGGCGAGCGATGACGTGGCGGCGTGCGCTGACGTGGCATGCGCTGACGTGGTATGCGATGACGTGGCATGCGATGACGTGGCAGGAGAACCATGTGGTGCTCCAGATGTTGCTCGCACCAAGTGGTGCATGACAAGAAAGTCCAGCACAGCTTCCCCCAGGAACACAAACCGCCTCTCCCACGTCAACTCCTCCTCCCGTATTGCCTCCCTCAGTATCCCCTCATTTTGGAATTGATACCCCATCGCATTCTGAAGCTCCCACAGCCAACCAGTTTTTTGAGACGGCTGATGCTGCTGCTGCTGCTGCTGCTGCTGCTGCTGCTGCACGCACTCCCCTTCTAGCAACTTGAGTCGCTTCTCTGGCGGCTGAAGCGGCAGCAGGGACGGCCCTCTAGCTGGCTCCAATGCGTGCTTGCTGCCACTCACCCTTTGCTCCGGTTTCCCTCGTGCTGCCTCTGTTGCTGCCACTGCTGCTGCTGCTGCTGCTGCTGCTGCTACTTTCGCTCCTAGTGCCACATCTGAATCTGCAGCAGCTCTCAGTACCTCTCCTAATTTCTGCACCCCCTCTACGCTTCCCTCCACCAACCTCGTCGCCCCTCCCCCTCCGCACCCCATCTCTCCCCTCAGCAACTCCCCCACACCCTCCGTAGGAAGGCCCAGCCACCTCAGCATCGGCAGCGCCAAGTCAGCGCCACCGCAGCGCCAGCTGGCACCCACCAGGGCCTCTGCCACGTCAGCGAGCACCTTCTTGTCCAGCTGGCACGCTGACTTGGCGGCGGCTGTTGCCCGCGCCGCTGCCAGCGAGGCAAAGGCAGAGTCGAGAAGGGCTTTAGGGCTCGGAGGAAGGTTCTGGGAAGCTGCAGTAGCTCGAGAAGGGGATGGAGGAGAGGCTGCTGCTTATGACTCCCTCGTGTGTGAGAGGGAGTCTGAAAGCGAGAGTGGTGGGCGGAGTGAGTGAGAGAGGGAGTCAGCCAAAAGTAGAAGAGTGTGGGAGGGGGGAACGAGAGGGCCGAACCAGTCACGGGTTCTGAAGGGCTTGCAGCGAACCAAGGGAGGAACACCGGCTTTAAGTGCCAGCGCTGCGAGGTGCTTGTTTGACACCAGCTTCACGCACTGCCCCTTCATGTCATCGTATGTCAGCCGGGAGGCCTTGCTTTCATTGTATGAAACACTCCCGCTCCTTTCTCCCTGCCCCTGCCCACCGTGCCCCTGCCCACCGTGCTGCGGCTGGCGTGACAAGCCAAGTGACTTTTGAGTCGACTCAAAAGTCACCCCGCTCCTTCCTCCATGCCCCTGCCCACCGTGCCCGTTCCCCTGCCCTCCATGCCCCTGCCCACCGTGCTGCGGCTGGCGTGGCAAGCCAGCAGCAGAGAACAGGCGGCAGGAGCAGGTGAGCTGCACGCAGCTGTCACCAAGCACCTCATCTGACTCGTATGTTCCCACGCTGCTCTCGTTTGTGCCGGGGCAGGTGAGGGCGCGCAGGAGCTGAAGGAGGGGGAAGAGTAAGGGGCACGGGGGGTAAGATGGGTAGGTGAGGTCACGCAGCTGTCGCCAAGCACCTCGCTGCTCTTGTACGTGCCCACTCCGCTCTTGTTTGTGCCGGGGCATGTCAGGGCACGCAGGAGCTGAAGACAGGGAAGGGGAGGGGGGAAGGTGAGGGTGTGTGAGAAGTGAGCTGCACGCAGCTGTCTCCAAGCACTTCGGCCGACTAATCTTTCCCCATGCCGCTCTCCGTGGTTCCCGGGCAGGTGAGCGCACGCAGCAGTTGAAGGTGGGGGAAGAGTAAGGGGCACGGAGGGGAAGATGGGTAGGTGAGCTGAGCGCTCAAGGAGCTGCATGCAACTGTCACCGGGAACTTTGTCGCTCTCGTACGCGCCGATGCCACTCTCTGTTTTTCCGGGGCATGTGAGCGACTTTTGAGGCGCCTCAAAAGCCACTCTCTGTTTTTCCGGGGCAGGTGAGCGACTTTTGAGGCGCCTCAAAAGCCACTCTCTGTTTTTCCGGGGCAGGTGAGCGACTTTTGAGGCGCCTCAAAAGCCACTCTCTGTTTTTCCGGGGCAGGTGAGCGACTTTTGAGGCGCCTCAAAAGCCACTTTATGTTTTTTCGGGGCAGGTGAGCGACTTTTGAGGCACCTCAAAAGCCACTCTCTGTTTTTCCGGGGCAGGTGAGCGACTTTTGAGGCGCCTCAAAACCCACTCTCGGTTTTTTCCGGGGCAGGTGAGCTGAGCGCTCAAGGAGATGAGGGATGGGAGAGGGTGGGTGGGGTGTTGGACGCTGGAGAGGGGTGGTTAAGATGTGATGACGGCAGCGCTCCGCTGCACGCAGCTGTCACCAAGCACCTCGTTTGACTCATACGTGCCCACACCGCTCTCTGGTGTGGCGGGTCATGTGAGCACACCCATCAGCTGAGGGGTATGAGGAGTTCAGTGCCCTACACTGCAGTGCAGTGCGGTGAAGGAAAACGATGTGAGTGCAGGCAGGGGCGTGACTCACATCAATAGAAGGAAAACGAGGTTCCTCCTGCACACGCTCCGGAGCCTCCACACCACACCCGTACTGCCGCACAAGGAACCGCCGGATGTCCCGGGCAGTGAGGGGAGCAGCGAGGCAAAGACGCAGTGTCGTGCAGAGCAGTGCAGCGCATCAGAGTGACTCACATCAATAGCAGGAAAATGCGGATCCTCCACACCACACCCATACTGCCGCACAAGGAACCGTCGGATGTCCCGGGCAGTGAGCAGGCAGTCAAGGCGGGAGAGCAGCGAGGGGAGCAGCGAGGCAAAGAGCACGTGCCGCAGTGGCAGCACCGGCACCACTAGCTCCAAAGGGAGGTATGACGTCTGCCGCCCCCTGCCCTTCTCCCTGCCCTGCTGCTGTTCTTTATGCTTAGCTGCCTCCTCCTCCTTCCCCATGCCTTGCTGCTGCTGCTGCTTCCGTTCTGCTGCAGCCTTTTCTTCTGCTGCAGCCTCATCTGCCATAGCCTTGTCAGCTGCAGCTTTGGCTGCTACAGCCTGACCTGCTACAGCCTGCTTTGCTACAACCTTCTCTGCTGCAGCCTTTTCTTCTGCTACAGCCTTGTCAGCTGCAGCTTTGGCTGCTACAGCCTGACCTGCTACAGCCTGATTTGCTGCAGCCTGACCTGGTATAGCCTGCTCTGGTACAGCCTGACCTGCTACAGCCTGCTCTGCTACAACCTTCTCTGCTGCAGCCTTCTCTTCTGCTACAGCCTCATCTGTCACAGCCTTGTCAGCTGCAGCTTTGGCTGCTACTGCCTGACCTGCTACAGCCTTCTCTTCTGCTCCAGCTTTATCAGCTACAGCCGTCCCCACTGTAGCGCTGGCAGGTACAGGCATCTGCTCCTCCCGCCCTAATTGGACTGCCCTGTTGACGAAATCCCAAGCGTCCACTGAGGTGGGGGGAAGAGCAGGGACGGGGCACTTATAGCGCGCATCAAAATTCGTCTAGCCTCTCAATTCGACAGCCCTGTTGACGAGATCTAGAGTGTTCACTGAGCGAGGGGTAATGCAAGAGGAATGCACGGGGGATACCAAAGGGGATACAGGGGGGGAGGAAAGAAAAAAATTGCAAGGTGACGGTGGGGCAGGCAGGGGGTTCCGTGGGAAGGCAGACGAGCAGAGGGGGGGAAAAGGGTAGGGAGTAGTTTCCTGCAATGGTAAGTCTGGCTGGAGTAAGCAACAGATAGCTCAAACCATGAAACGAAACAAGTACAGGCAAGCACAGGAAAGCGACATGGGGCATATAACGATGCAGTATTAGAGGCACATAAAGAGACACAGTGTCAGTTACATTTGGGTGGTGCCTGTTGCAGCAGCAGTGCATTGCGCAACTCTGGCTTTGGCATGCAGGTGACTTTTGAGTCGACTCAAAAGGCATATAACGATGCAGTATTAGAGGCACATACAGAGACACAGTGTCGCTTACATTTGGGTGGTGCCTTCATCAGCAGTGCATTGCGCAGCTCTGGCTTCAGCTGGCATGCAGCGAACAGGGGCTGGTCAGGATGCTGCAGCGATATGCCATACCTGGTGATGCGTTAGGTAGGGGTGCAAAAGGGTAGAGGGGTAGGGCTATTAGGGGTGAAAGGGACAGGGGCTGGTCAGGATGCTGCAGCGATATGCCGTACCTGGTGATGAGTTAGGTAGGGGTGCAAAAGGGTCGAGGGGTAGGGATGCAGGGGTAGGGGGTAGGGCTATTAAGTTATACCCCCTACCCCTGTGAAAGGGGCAGGGATTGGGAATGATCTGGATGTTGCAGCGATATGCCGTGCCTGGAGCGAACAGGGGCTGGTCGGGATGTTGCAGCGATATGCCATACCTGGTGATGAGTCAGGTAGGTGTGTTTACGATCAGGGCTCAGGGTGCAGAAGGGAGGGGTGTAGGGTAGCACAGCAATATAATATGGGTAGCACAGCAATATAATCGGGGTAGCACAGCAATATAATCTGGGTAGCACAGCAATATAATCTGGGTAGCACAGCAATATAATATGGGTAGCACAACAATATAATCTCTACCTGGTATTTCTTACATTTATCAAGAAAAAAGGCCACGGGGTTCGGATCGGGGCTGCGAGTTTAAGCTCCGGTTCTTTTGAGCAAAAGTGTTCATCTTATGAGTTCCGCTTATACGATTGCAGCAGTGCGTGCGGCAGTGCATGCAGCAGCAGTTGGGACAGCCGAGGGATAAGAATGCTTCACTTGAACAGGGGTGCTGGGTTGGCCGCACTTGCTGGTTGGGCAGAGAGAGATAATCGAGGGACGGGACATGTCTGCTCTGCACTCACTGATTCTGGAAGCACTGGTTCTAGCAACGTGCCTCCCTGCGGCCCCACAAATTCACTCCGTGCTGTCCGCCCCTGCGGGTCCCTCCCCATTAGCCGGTACATCAGACGCGAATGCACCCCCCAGTCCCTCACCCATGCAACACTCACATGGCAACGAGAGGGGAAAATCGCACTCACTGATTCTGGAAGTACTGTTGGAACGTGCCTCCCTGCAGCCCCACGAACTCACTGCGTGTTGTCCGCCCCTGGGGGTCCCTCCCCATTAGCTGGTACACCAGACGCGAATGCATCGCACATGCCACCATGCCGTGCAGCTCATGCTCCTCCACAGGCCCACGAGCAGACACGAGCAGAGGCGTGCTGGCAGGGGCATTGCTTGGAACAGCAGCATCCACACATGCCACCGTGCCATGGAGCTCGTGCTGTTTCACAGGCCCACAAGCGGTCACGAGCAGGGGCGTGGTAGGGCTACCAGGGGCATTGTGACTAGTCCTGCTGCCGCTGGTGTTTGGATCATCAGCAGCAGCAGCAGCAGCAGTGGTATCAGCAGCCGCAGCAGCATTAGCATCAGCAGCAGCAGCATTGGTATCAGCAGCAGCAGCAGCAGCATTAGTATCAGCAACAGCAGCACCACCACCATCAAGAACATCGTTGGTATCAGCGGCATCAACAATCACAGCAGCAGCAGCATTAGCAGCCGCATCATTGTTGTCAGCAGCAGCAGCACTAGTATCAGCAGCAGCAACATCACCACCATCAGCAGCAGCAACATCACCACCATCAGCAGCAGCAGCAGCAGCAGCAGCATCACCACCACCACCACCATCAGCACCATCAGCAGGAGCAACAGCATCAGCACCACTAGAAGCAGCAGCAGCAGCATCAGCACCACCACCAGCACGAGAAGCACGACGAGCAGCGTGAAGAGCATTATGATAAGCCTCACGATGAGCGCGGTGTTTCAAAACCGCACTAAACCCTCCCGGACCCAGAGACACCACCCTGTCCACCGTCTCCCAGTCAATCCTCCGCATCAACATGCGCATCATACCATCATCCCCTCCCATGCGCATCATACCATCATCCCCTCCCCTGCTCATGCCATCATCCCCTACCCCATGCTCCCCTGCGTCCACCCCTTCACCTTCCTTGCCAGCATTCGCCTCTATACCTTCCTCCCCTCCCCCATGATTCCCTGTATCCACCCCTTCCCCTTCCTGCCCTCTCCCAACAGCCTTGTGCCAGTCTGCAACGGTCCCTCTGCCTCTTTCTTCCACTCCTCCTCCCCCCACCAAGCAGGGCAGTACGAGGCAGTAGTGGGATGCGGTCCAGAACGCTCCAAAAGGGCGCACAGCGGTGCTGATGTGTATGGGTGCCTCACCCGCAGCAGTATCGGCCGCAGTTGTGCCAACAACTGGTGCTGCCGCAGCAGATTCAGCTGAAGGAGCGGCAGATTCAGCTACAGCTATAGAGTCAGCAGCAGGAGCAGCAGCAGCAGCGGCAGCTTGGGCGAGGATGGGAGCATTGTGCATGAGGTCCCATCGATCCAACGCCATGCCAAACAGACGCATGTGGTAGCACATGGCGCTGCTCAGCTGAGAGAACAGGGAAGAAGAGAGACAAGTGGGAGCGGGAGTGAGAGTGCGAGTAGGAGTGGGAGCATAGTCCATGAGGTCCCGTCGATCCAATGCCATGCCGAACAAACGCATGTGGTAGCAAATGGCACTGGTTAGCTGAAGAACATTCGAAAGTATGAGGACACGAGGGAGATGGGGGAGATGGGAGTGTGAAAGTGGGTGCTCGTGGGTGCAGGTAGGTGCAGGTGGGTGGGAGCATGGTGCATGAGGTCCCATCGGTCCAGTGCCATGCCAAACAGGCGCATGTGGTAGCACATGGCACTGCTCGGCTGAGGGAATGGGGAAGAAGAGAGAGAATGCGGACAATGGGGAGAAGGGGGTGGATGTGGGTGCACAGCTGACACGTGCTGCTGAAGCTGGTCGGCTGCGTGGATGCCGATGACGCCGGCGACAAGCAGCACCGGACGAGCACGGGCGGCTACGTGTTCGTCTACGGAGGGGCCGCGGTCTCCTGGTCGAGCCAGCGCATCAAGTGCGCGACGCTGTCGTCGACCGAGTCAGAGTTTGTGGCGGCCACTGAAGCCGGCAAGGAGGGACGCCGCCTTCGCTTCCTCCTTGTAGAGTTCCGGCAGCTGGACGCCGGGACGCCGACTGTCCTTCGGGTGGACAACAAGTCGGCCATCACGGTCGCCGAGGGCATGGGGTTGACGGGCAACCTCAAGCACATGGAGCGGCGACAGGCCTGGCTGCAGCACATGATGAGGCGCGGGAAGTTCGCGTTGAAGTACATCCCGACCACCGAGCAGCCGGCAGACTTCCGGACAAAGGCGCTGCATTTTCCGGCTTTCAACCGGTGCTCGGTCGCCATCGGACAATGTGCAACAGTAGGTGCCGTGCCCTTCTGCACGGCTGGTGCGGTGACGGCGTGCTGTGTGTGGGGTGCACGCCAAGGACGAGTTTTCTCCGTGGAGTACTGCCGTGTGGGCTGGGGGCCCAAGCGCTGCAGGGGAGTGTTAACGGGAATGGAGTGTTGGCCCCGCCCTCGCTTGGGCGACGCCGACGTCCTGGTCGGATGCACGGGAGAAGCAGCCGACTGTTCGCAGTGAGGGAGCTGCTCGACGGGCTCGTTGAGCTGCAGGGAAAACTGTGGTGTTGCCGTCGACCAGGGGTGCTCGACGGCCTTCTTCTGCGGGGCAAGTCGACAAGGTGGCCGTCGACCTGCACAAGTCTGTCACGGGGCTGGAGTCGTCGATCAGGGAGCTCAACAGCTGCAGCTGACTGGGCTGGTCGACGGGTGGTCCGTCGACTAGGAGGGGCAGATCGACGGGGAGGTCTACGGAGCAGTCCGTCGACCTGACATGTGAGCAGCGGTCGACGAGGGGAGCTCGGCGATAGCAGCTGACAAAGCTGGTTGACGGAGGGGCCTGTCGACCAGTGTGTTGCTCGGCAGGAGCTGTGGTCGACCAGAGGCACTTGGTGGGCGACCAGAGCACTTGGTGGTCGACCAGAGGCACTTGGTGGTCGACCAGAGCACAGGGTGGTCGACCAGGTCGACCGGGTAACCTTCTCGGCGAGTTCGGCGGAGGCACGCGAACGTCGTCGAGGTCGCGGTGACGAAGACGACTTCGGGCTGGTATCCCGAAGTCGATGTGGCTCGTCAGGTGCAGACAACAGCTGACGGATGCACAGCGGTGCAAGTCGGGCCAATCGTATGCGCGCACCTGCGAGCGTGCGCATTGCTCTCATCTATGTGGCAATGCTGGACAGCCGCACAGCTGCAGCGTTGGCACGCTGTCGACCTGATGCGTTGGCAGGTCGCCTTTCTGCAGTGCTGGCGCGGCTCCTCTATGCAACGCTGGTAGGCGGTCGACCATGCTGTGCTGGCGGTCGACCAGGCTAGCTGCAGGGTTGCTAGGTGCCTGATGTAGTCATTTCTGGCATTGCTTGTTCAATCATTCTGTAATGTGAACTTT